AGAACTTTGCAAAATATCTCTACATAAAAAGAAATAGATTGTGGTTATGTACTCAAAATAGCAGGTAACATCAGTCTTCTGTAAGGAAGTAGCAGAAATTGCTATGGTGGTTTTGGTGGATGGAGAGAAACATCCACCAAAACCACTTTATTCTATGTGTTAAGAGTTATGATAATCATTATGAACGTTTGGTCGGTCAGCAATTGTGCACCATAAAAGATAATTAGCCAGAGCACTAACTGCTAATTAGTGGTATAAATCTTTTGTCTCCCTGAACATCTAACAGTGGCTATAGATAAAATTTAAAAAATATATTGTTGATGGTTTTGGTCAAAGTTTTGGTGGATGTTCCTTAATGACATCCACCAAAACCACGTAACATCTGGGCTCCTTTTAAATACGTGAAATATCTGCATAAAATTGCGTAAAATGTTTTATAATACTACAATCGAACAATAAATTAATACTTACCATTTCTTGAGTAAAAAGTTTTGACGCAATTTCCCAAACAAATGTTACACTTAGGTCATCGGGATAAGTCGGCATGTTGTCGTAGCTTCGTAATTTTCATTTAGTATAACAAGTCATGAGTTGTCCATCATTCCATCTCAGTCCCTCTCGACCAAGGTGGTTTTGGTGGATGGAATCTAATGCTGACCCAACTGTAAAATGGACAATTAATGTGGAAGGTTTATTTTTCACTGAGCTGACTTCACAGCGAGGGAGCGTTTGCATCAATCATGGGTTTACTTCCATATTTCTTCAGCTCGTAATTATGTCTTCGAGTGATTGGTTCACCGGCGAAGTTGTGGTCATTCCTTTTAGAGGCTTCTAGCCGTGGAAAGCAGTGGCAACAATCAGCAACAGTTTATACGTGCTTCAGTCATCGAAGGTATTCGATTAAGAAACTACTGTTTTTGTGCGTTTCAGGACCTGTTCGATGCCACTTTCTTGATATTTTAAAATGTGTACATGTAGGTTGCCTTTAAGCTATTTATCGTGAGAAAACATGCAAAATTGAAATCTCAGATTCCTAGCGTTCGTGGCTCCTAACAAACGTGCTGAGTTTGCAACGTTTGCTTCAGCTGGAAACTCGCGTAAAGCTCTTCTTCTTTGTCAACTCAAGGTTACTTCTTCCAAAGAAGTCCAGTCAACTAGAGATGTATCTTATTTTGTCAAACTTTCTCAATTTAATGTATGTTAGAAGTGTGACTTGATGTGCGTGTTTTCCCTGGATTTGCTTTGTCCGTGCCTTCGTTGCATTGTATCAATTTACAACTGTGAGGTGTTATGAGCGAGATATTGCGAAAAAACGTGCTACCATGAAATGTGTACATTTTCGGTCCACTTGTCCGAATAACTGACGTATTATCCGTTGTCTGTGAAACACTTTGATTTTAGGATTGTGGAATTTCGTTCAGTTGAAATGCGTAGTTTTTCACGCATGAGAGATGTGTTTCAAATTGAAATCTCATTTTTAACATATCATGAAGACATTTGTGGAGAAAAACTCGTTCATTTAAGATATGGATTTATTTTCCATAATCAGCAACTCACTCTCGAAGTAGAAGGTAGAGTAATTAAACTTCTGGGTTGTGTCACAAACTTTGATTGTCAGCTCACATATCATAGGATATTTTCAAACCAAAATATATCAAATAAAACATCTTATAAAAATTGTGATCAGATCCCTTCACGGGAATGCAGACCCAACCTTGTTTCTCAGGTCCTTTATCTCTTCCTGCCTTAAGAAAGTACCCTGGTTGCTGGTCATGTGTCTCTCAGAATTTAGAAAGGGCTCATGTGAAAAATCTCTTTTGTCCCCGCCAACTCAACAGATAGGGTGAACATAAGTAAATATTTGTTAGTTCAATCAACTTATTTAATCATGCACTTTGTTACATTATTTTTGGGATTTGATGAGATGAGGTTTCTCTTGACATAGATTTCTGCATTTGCAGTTCCCCATTTGTTGATCCTGTTTGTAGACTTTTTCACACCTTTCACACTGCTGATTTTTTATTTACTTTGGATTGAATCAGTAAACATCAGCTCTGGGAAATTGTTTGAAATCACCCATTTACTTTTTTAAACAATCCAGCCTCTATGGATGTTAGTGACCAACCAATCCACAAATATATGTCGATGTGTCTCCTAGTTCAAGAATGCTATTTTGTCATCCAGTTGGTTTGTATAAAGCAGATTCCTAGTTTCTTGAGAATAATGAGTGATGATACTCTAAAGAGAGGTGGATACTTCAGCAGAAATTTGCTATAGAACATTCCTTTGAAAGAGGATTTTTTACCATCATCTTTGTCTGAAAAATTTTTTAAATTACAATCTGGACTATGTTTTGGATTTCAAAAATATATTGGGATTGTCTTTTACTGGCTTCAGTAGAATCATGTGGAAGAATCCTGTTCTCTGCAATTGCTTAACCCTTTAACTTGCAGAAGTGATTAACAAGTCACTTCTTCCAATATTATTCATACATTATCCAGCAAACAGGTAATGAGAATACTTAATCTTACCAGGTAGAAACTGTTATCTTGATCTAACAACAAATTCTTGTGACTAATTTATAAGGAAATGTGTAGTAGCTACAGGGGAGAATTAACAATCCAATGTTGGGAGTTGAAGGATTAAATTACAATGTAGGACCTTTAAGGATCGTTTCTGCAATTAAAATTTATTTGGTTATGAATCTTGATAATTTTTTTTAAATCATATAAAAATAGCTTTCTGTCCATGATCTATGACTTTTATAACATGCCTTTCCAAGAATAGGTGATGTATTTAAACATTCTTTCATGAAATTTTCTCTGTCTGTTTAAGATGTATGAACAGGGTGGTGGCCAGGTGACTTGCTATTGGTTGTCAATTGTCTGTTTTTGACAAGAAATAATTCATGGTATAGTGCCTACTTTAAGGTATATTTTCAACACCAAATTAAGGTGGTATTGGACACTAAATTTTGTGTTTTTTTTTTGTCTCAAATCATTAATGAAATATTTATTTACAGATTTGTTAGATTAACTTGAAATTATCACATGGGATATATGATTCCACGTATAATCGGAAGAGAAAAATTGTATTTTGCTCAGTGCTATGGAATTGGTGGAATTTCATGGAATTAGAGGGTGTGTTTGAAAAGCCATTATGGAGAAAAAATGTCTCTAAATCCAAGCCATTTTAATTAATACTACTCAAAATGGTTTGGCACAGACAAAACGCTGATGGTAATAAAGATTTTCAGTGCAGTCTGCTAAGTAATATTCCATTTTGACAATTTAATTATCCAATACCTTGTCATTTGGAAAAGTTTCGGCAGACAGTGGCATACTGTGCTGTAAATGTTCCTCATCATACAAAGTTTTAGTTTGCAGAGATTGTGATCAAAAGTATTAACCTTCTTGAGATAATACAGTTGCAGTGGCAATTAATTTGCAAAAAGTGGCAATAGGAACCACAAAAATATGACATGGTGTGGGAATTTGATAATAGCAACTTTGAATTTAACATTGTGTGACAAAATTAAATGTGTGGTTATTGGCTTGCTTTATGGTTGTGATGCCTTCCGAAAATTGGAAATATGAGGAAAAATTCTTAGAATAAAAAGGCTAGCCAAAATAAATGTGTCTTTGTTGCTTGGAAAGTGTAAATAGTTAGCTACATGTATTGTAAATCTCTTTTCTGAGTTCCATCCATGGTAAGGTCATAGCACTTTGTTTTTCCTTATGAAATGGTTACTTTTGAAATGAATGTGTCAGGAATGTCATCTGAAGGAAATACAGCGAGAATGGCAAACACCATTAGACCAGGATCTTATCTTTATTCGCTGCAAGATTTGTCCTTCTCATTTTGAAAATGTGCCATTTTCCATTTGCCAAATTTTGCAAGTAGGTAATTTAAACAATGATCTTAAATATATGAGGAAATGAAAGCTTCCCAGAAAGGTAAAATTAACCTCCAGTATGCATTAATTGGCCTCAACAACACTCTAAGAAGAAATAGAAAACTTAAATGGACTCAGTAACTCACATTTTGTATTGTTGTTTTTCCAGGGAAATTTTTCAAAATTAAAAGCTACCTGTGATGTCAACGCTACAAAAGGTAGTTAGAAAAATCTAAATTATTACAAATACCAAACTTTTATTTTGATTTTGACAAAAACATTCAAATTTGTGTCCTTGTTTTTTTAACCTAAATTTCTTCAATGAGACGACATGTACCAATTTCAAAGTGAGTTGAAATGGGAGACCCTTTAAGGATAGTTTTTACTTTCAAATTTAATTCCTTGTAACTATTATGGTTGTTATCAGTGACAGTGACAGTGTAGTCATCTCTAAGGCAACTTCATATTTTCCTGGTTTAAATTTGTCTCATTTTACACGTCTCCGACTTTTTGGCAAAGGATAAAACTTAACTGCAAGTTTCCAAAAGAATTGACATTACATATCAAGTGGACATGCATTATTGTGATTTAATTATTATTGTTTTACAGCTTATTGTCAATACCATTCTTGTTTTGTTGTTGTAGGATTTCACAATTCCTGGTGTGGCCTGCACATCACAGGAAGACCAGGAAAACATGACACTGAAAGTCACTTTGCTAAGTAGTGAGTGGAAATCATCCACTAATGGGGATTTGTCAACTATCAACCGAGAGCTGGCCATCCAGTTAGCTAAACACCCCAATGTGGATGTTAGTGTCTTGCTTCCAAATTGCAGTGAAGCAGACAGGAGCAGTGCAGAAAGTCACAATGTGAAGCTTGTTGAAGCAGATAGAGTTCCTGGTTTTGAGCCAGTTCTTTGCCTGTCCTTTCCTCCAAGAGACCATACAATAGACTGTGTCATTGGTCATGGAGTTCACCTTGGCCGACCAATTGCATCCATGAAGAGAAATCCAGATTACAGTCATTGCAAATGGATTCAAGTTGTTCACTCTGCTCCTGAGGAAGATGGAATGTACAAAGACATTTCAGAAGGTCAAAAAATGCAACAAACAGAAATCCAACTCTGTAAAATGGCTGATCAAGTTATCACAATTGGACCTAAGCTGGCAGAAGCTTACAAGTGTTACCTTTGTTCAGCTAAACAGGAGGAAAAAGTTTTTGACCTTACTCCAAGCATTTTCTCTGAATTTTTGGCAGTAGAGCAAGCCACTAAACAAAGAAGAACATTCCGTATTCTTGTAATTGGAAGTGGTGACAGCTGTGAAGATTTCAATGTCAAAGGGTACGACATAGCTGCCAAAGCAATTGCCGAGTTGAAAGATGAATCATACAAACTCAAGTTTGTCTGTGCAGCTGGAGGAAAAGGAGATATCGTAGCTGAAAATTTGCTCCACCATGGCATTAGTCGTAATCAGCTTATTGTTTGCAGCTTTGATGATAACAGAGAAGTGCTGGCAAACTTATTCTGTGAGGTAGATCTTGCAATAATGCCATCCAGGACGGAAGGTTTTGGAACAACAGCTCTGGAAGCATTATCTGCTGGTCTGCCTGTACTTGTCAGTGGTAATTCAGGGCTTGGAGAAGCTCTGAAGAAAGTGCCTTTAGGCTCCCAGAGTGTGGTAGACTCTGAAGATCCTAAAGAGTGGGCCAGAGAAATAAAGCGTATCCATCAGAAAGAGAGAGACGTGCGACTTTCAGAGTCAAGACTTCTACGTGAAAAGTACTTGGAGAAGTATAGTTGGGAGGAGCCTTGTAAGAGTCTAGTGATAAAGATGAAGAACCTTGTCTTTGGTAAATTTACTTAAATTTAATGTTTCAGTCTTAACTTGTGTAGTAACTGATAAAAAGTTGAATCAGCCTTGAATCAACCTGGACCTGTGATAATCATAAATTCTTTAGAGACCTGAATCAAACAAATAGTTAAAAATGGTAAATACTCAGGAAAGGTAAATTTAAGTGTTATGTAATAATCTTACCCACAAGATTAGGAACAGTGTTAGAGAGTTTTACACATGTACTTGGTAAAGTGCATTTGCTTGGGAAATACTTTCTATAGTTATTTTACTCAAGACATAAAGCAGGTACTGTTGAAAGTTGAACAAGCATGGTCAACTTGGTTGGTGTCTTTTTTTAGACTCAGCAATATTATGTTTATTAGTAACTGAAACATTTAGTGGTACTGTACAGTAGCCTTAATTCTAACTCTCCTCCTAGGAAGGTATTCTGAGTTAATTTATGACAATTTTCAGTGGAACTTTGGCTGGACTGCTCAGATAAATTCTTTTTTCTCTTTACTGTCTGTAGGTAAAGCTCTACACAGCTCTCCAGACTGTGAAGAAACAGAGAGGAATAAACAAGGAGAGTCTATGCCAGGTCAGTAAACTTTACATTGCATGTTACATTCAGGAATACAGTAATTAGACTCTAACTGTCAGGAGAATTATGAGGAACAAATCAGTAAATCAGGTGTGCAGCAGAAAAGTTCTCAGAAGAATTAAAATAAAAAAAAAAGAAAAAAAAGAAAAAGGAAAAAGAATAAAAAAGAAAAAAGAATTAAAAAAAAAAAGAATAAAAGAAAAAAGACTCTAGCCTAAGTCTATAATCAACTTCTGTATATCATTGTATAGGTGCTCATGCTCCATGCCCTAAGAAGCCCCCTCCCCCAAGCCAATATATCAAACATGAACTCCCCCCTCCCACATTGAACAATAATACTATGACCAGTTACTGCATTTCCTCATGCAAGTGTCCATGCTTTATGAGCCACCCTCCCCCTGTCCAATATGTGGAATACACTCCCCCCTAGAAAAATCACCCTCCACTTCTCCCCCACTTTCCTAAATTAAGGGAAACCTGATGCTAGAGCCACTTTAATAATAACTTTTTAACCTTCAAATACCGCCAAATCAGTACAGCTTATAGTTTCTTACCAAACACCCCTCCTCGATTAAGCAACTTCCTCTCTCTTCCCAAACATTAAGTAATTCACATCAGGGCACTTGTTCAAGGAAATACAGTATCCAAAACTATTAAATTTGGTGAAGCAAAGACCTTTATGTAGTTGCTGATTGAGATGAAGCTATTCTATGAATGTAGAACTTCTGTAATTTTTCCTGCTTTACATGTACTTTTAACTCGTAGGGAAATGTATGGAAATGCCTGTAGAACTTTATTATCCCAACACTTATTAATCAAAGCACTATTTGATTAAACTCCAGAAAGAGATTAAGTGTGTAGATAAAGCCTTGAAGCAACAAAAAAGGAAATAAGTTAGCTCGCAAACAAAAAATGATTTAATTGGTAATCAAAGAAGAGCTTAATTTACTTGCAGTATTCCTGTTGGCTTATGGGTCATTTAGCACTTGGATCAAACAATATCAATATGTTTGTGCTTACCTAACTCTTTCTCTTCCACAACACTTCTCACTCTTCTGACTTTTTCAATGAAGCTGAAAGGAGGCAAAATATTCTCTCACTTCTACTTAGTACATAGTAACACTGAAACAATGTAGAAGTGAGAGAGCACAACGAACGTTAAGACATCCATCATTTCAACTTTTTTCTAGTCTTCTAAATTGAAGTCTGTTTGCAGGATTCCAAACTAGGTAGCATTCCATAATGTGACATTTCTCTCCTTTCTCCACAGAAGAAGCTCCAAACACCTCTTTGAAGAGAAGAAGAACTCTAGGGAATGAACAAACAAAGTC